CGAGGTTTTCTTCTTCAGCCTCCCGCCCTTTTTTGTGCTTTTTTCCTTTATAAACCTCCCATAACCCACCATTACCTTTATATTTTAAAATAAGATTTACAATTTTTTTTATTTTTATATTATATAAATTTGTTTAAATTTATCTTGTAATATTTACATATTATAAAATAAAAGAACGATTTGTCGGTGAAATTTAAAGAGAATAAAATTTTGTTTCTTTAAAGTATTAATTTTATTTCATATGAAAAATAATAATAATAATATTTTATGAGAATTGTGTTTTAGTTATAGATCACAATAATTAAAATCATAATAAACATTTTTATATTATTAAAAGTAATTTGAAATGAATATTTTAGGCTAAAGAAAGGTATGATTATACTAAATGACTTTGATTGATTTTTTAATTATAATACTTTAAGTTTGAGAAAAAATTAAGTAGACTGATATACTAAAGGTTAAGATAGAATATTGTGGACAAAAATTGAGATAGCTCAGTTAGAAAAAAAAATATTTAGACAAGTTAACAACAGAGATGCATCACACCAAGTCAAAGATCGAGAAGAGACAACGTGTATGGAGAATAGTCAGAAAGATCTAGACCAAAAATTAAGACAAAATGGGTTGGGTCGAAGATTAAGGCAGGTTAAATTTGACGGTGGAGACTGGTTGACCCAAAATAAATGTTCGGAGATTAAGACTTAAGGTCCAGACAAACTAACATAAGTTGAAGGTCGAAACGGGTTGGCCCGAGCCAAAGGTAGGGATGGGCTGACCCGAGGCAAAGGTAGGATAGAGGACTATCTCCTGAATAATAATTAGTATAGAAAATAAAATAAATTGTATTTTTCTTATCAAAGATTAACATCTTTGTGGAAAATATTTCTTTTAGGGTTTCTTAGGTGCCTTAAACATTTATACCTATATATAGGAACACCAAATACATATGTAGACATTTTGGAAGTGATAAATATGCATTTGCAACATTGAGAGAGGATTCTTTTGGTTCTTGATTTACAACTCTGATTCTTATCAAAGATTAACATCTTTGTGGCAAATATTTCTTTCAGGGTTTCTTAGGTTGCCTTAAACATTTATACATATATTGTGGTGTTTCCATCATTGTCATATGAACCTCAAGAAAAAATTTAAAAAAATCAAGACGGACGGGCCAGGACATGAAAGAGATGGATCTGTATATTTAAAACGGACCAATCACGACTACCACATAAGCGTTTATGAAAAACTCGAATTTAAAAAGTCGACGACGATCAAAGATAAAATGAACTCTTAGAAAGTGATTATGAATAACTAGAAACAATGTTATTTGTTATGCCATTTTTTGCTAATGCCCAAAGGGGGAGAGTAACTGGAAAACATGTTTCTTGTTTGTCATCATAAAAAAAAGGGGGAGATTGTTGATAAGGGGAGCTTTAATCTCCTTATATATTTTTGTTTTTTATGATGAACAAGAAAATAGTTTAATGGTTTCTTGCATAACAAATGGCATAACAATTGCTTTATCTATATCCTGTTTGTGCTTGATATGTGAATTCATTATTATTGAATGAATCATGTGTAAAACATATGAATAATATATTTTTTTGTTGAATTAATCGATTAAACATGGTATAAAATCTGTTAGATTTAACCAAATCACTTAGTAACCTTAACAGGGGCAAATTATTCCATAGTAATCGATTATACATGGTATATAACCGATTAAAACAGAAAGCAAGCCATAATTTGTATCATAAGTGATATAATCTGTTTAATAAAAATTGGATAGACAATTTGCTTAAGTGTTGTAATAATCGATTACATATGTTTTCTAATCGATTAAATCAATTTACATAGTCTAATCCATTTCATTTAAAGCCTGATTTGTTATAACTATTAATTGAATTAATAATTGGCTTATGTGATTAAATAATTGAATACATTATTAGGATAATATGGTAAAACAAAAGCAAAAGCTTAACAGATTACATAAATATCTTAATCGATTATAATGCGATAGGATTCAAAAAATCCTATATATACATACATATATATATATATATGTGTGTGTGTGTGTGTGTGTGTGTGTGTGTGTGTGTGTGTGTGTGTGTGTGTGTGTGTGTGTGTGTGTGTGTGTGTGTGTGTGTGTGTGTGTGTGTGTGTGTGTGTGTGTGTGTGTGTGTATGTGCGTCTTGGAGAATCAAGAAGTAATCTTGGAGAATCAAGGTTCAATTGGTTGATTACCCATCAAGATTTTTTCAAGAAAGTGTGCTAAAGTTGTTCTGATTTGATCTGCACTAGAGGAATGTGTCTTGCATATCAGATCCATCATAAACAATCAGTGATTGTGTACCTGTGTGGGTTTCCCAAGGGTTGAGAGTTGTGATTGTTCTCAGTTGTTGTAATAGAGTGAGATTATTCATCTTTTGTATTGCTATACTGATTTTGAGTGGTGAGAAGAGTGCATTGAGAGGGGTATCTCTGTATTTTTGTAAACTCAACCAATTATAGTGGATTCTCTTTAACTAAGGTTTGTTGAAGGAGGACTAGATGTAGGCTTGCGATTAGCCGAACCCGTATAAATTGTTTGTGTTGATCTTTCTGTACTATTTCTCTCTAGTTGTTGATTCATCACTTTTTGTTTATTAATTTCAAGAAAGTCAAAGAACTCATAAAGATTTTGAAAAGATCATTTAAAAAGGGTCAATCCAATTCACCTCCTATTGGCTTGAGATATAAGACATTTCTTTTCTTACAGTTTAATTATGATAATATAACAAAAACCATTTTGGTTCTATGTATTAATATAATTAATAAACAAGATTATTTGGTTATATCCAAGGAATATAACGGCGAATTTTGAGCTCATAAAGTTTGACACATTGTAAGCGTAGCTATCCCCATTTATAGCCTTTAATCTTGAATCTGTAATTGGCTTTTGTGCTTTAAAAGATTCTTTTATTTAGGATTTGTTATAATTGGGTTTCTTGAACATAAGATACAAAAACATGTTAAACGTAGCTTTTTATTTGCATAAATGTTGTTCAAATATTTTGAAGTATTTTAGTACAACTATAACTAAGTCAAACACATGTAAGTGTGAAAATAAATTGATTAAAATGGCATGACACCTTAAAAATAAAGTCAATAATCATGATGGTAACATTAAGTACTGTGTTAAGGTTTTGTTTTTTCTTCATTTCCATAAGGAGAAATAACAAAAGTGGTGTCTAAGACATTTTGCATTTGTAAGATTACATACCGCGATTCATTTCACCATCCGCATCATTTCCAATGGATTTTTTCATCATAAATTGGATTATAGATTTATTAAAGATTAATATATAATTATGCTAAGGCACAATTATTATTATGTTAGAAATTTTCTTCATACATACCTTATATAGATATCTGAACCATTCTACCTATAGATATATGCTACCTACTAATAGTTAGTAAATTTTATTTGAGTATTTTTTTAAAAAAATCAAGTGATAAAAATATAATTATTTATAAAAAAATATTAATCATCCAAAAATTATTTAAAATTTCACTTCGTATATTTTTATATTTTTAATTTTTTTTATTTGGAAATGCGAAATTGAAGTTATTTTATTAAAGATTAACTTTTTAAATTTATATTTGGATGTACCTCATTTAAATTTAAAAAAGATTATGTAATATTTTATTAAATAATTTGATTTGAATTGTACTTAAAAATTAATGTTTTGCATATAAATTTATATTTTAAAGATTTATTTTTAAATAATTTTATTTAGATTTTAAAATAATAAAATATAAAAGTATTTATTGATATTCATATATACCACGAGTAAAAAAATGTGAATATATACCTAATAAATAACGGAAGAGATATTTTTAACAGATGAGTAACTCGACCTCATGATTCTTTTTGCATTATTTTAGCCATCAAATATATACATACCCTTAAGAAATTTAATCCTCTTTATTTTTTTCATTGTTAAGATGATTCGATTGAGTTTGTCTTATTTTTTCTAATTATTGTATTTCAAAGAAATGAGGGAATCAAAAGATTGTGACGAAAGCTTTTCAAACTATGTATGATAATTAAGCCTAATCTCCATTCCAAGCAAATTAACCCAACATAAATGACTTGTTCTAAATATAAACCTAATCTCCTACTTAGCCGCTCCCTCCCTTTTGACCCAACTCAAAAGCATTGAAGTAATGTATACCTCATGTTTTATTTTTATTTTTTTGCAGAATGTTTTTCAATAGGATTTTCATTTTCCTTTCCTTGCAGTTCTCCATTCACCAATCCTATTCAGAAATTTGGAGTAGGAACAAATGTAAAAATTTGGAGAGTAGAAGCAAATATAAATTGATCTTCCCAAGCAGTATATAAACTTAGATGAATAAAAATCTTATTGTCCGCTTCAATTTGTTTGTCAGAAACCACTGGCCCTGTTAACTTTCAATGCAATTGCAACTTTATTGAGAATTGCCAAATTTACATAATTGGTTGCTCTTAAGACCAATGACCTGTAAACATGTGACGATCCAACATTTCCTTCGTATCACAACTTTTAACTTCAAAGACATGGAAGATCTGAATGATACGGATATTTTCCATTTTCCAATTAGCGGAGTGGAGTGTTGGGTTCACATTGAAAAGAACTAAACTTGAAAAACAAACATGCAGTGTATTTGTGTCAAAGCAAACTAAGGTTCACTACCACCAGGGAGTCGACCTTTGTATTTAGACAAATACACAATTTATGTCAAAACAACATGCACATAGTCTATATAGAAGAGTACAGAAGAATAAAACTCTCTTAACCAATGACAATAAAAACAGGACACATAGGCTTGCTGCATAACTTCCACAACAATCGTTGTAGCAGCATAATTTCCGCAATCTTTATCATGCATACCTTATAAATGCATACAACAGTAGGTCTATTTGAACATAGCAGCAATTAGACCCCAAAAGTTCAGGAATAGAGAACCCTCTATATACAGTATTGCAAAAAATTTAAATGCATAAGTTGGCATTGCCCTTTATTTCCACAGTCAAACGCTTAAATGCGGATCGTGGTGTACATCTGATGGGTCAGTATGAGTTGCATTCCTCAACAAATAGCACCTAAAAGTTACTATAGACAGGGAGAGAGCACGAAAAAATAAGAATCAATTTTTTCTACGGACCTATTAGCCTACATCGTGTACCTTTCAATAAAGAGGTATCAACTAGAAACAGTTAACATATTGTATAGATTACCTTAATGCTACTTTGTATAACAGGGATCAGTTACTATGAATACAGGAGTAATATTGACAAAAATTTTATAGAACACACTAGCAGTTCAAACCCCAATCATAAGGCTGATAAATCACCTTCAACTCAGAAGTGGCAAGTAGGTCCAACAATAATTCTGAGTCGGCAGGACGTAAGTAGGTTGACACATGCTTCAGGACCTCTACCTCATTTCTACCAAAATCTACACTAAACCTGAGTATCAAAATGAAGAAATATTAGAATCCTAAAAGTCAAATCAATTACACTTCTACTTATTAGTTATCAACCATTTCAAGTCAATCAGAATAGGGAATAGTGTATGTTTACATATATTCGAAGTTTTACGTAAGTATATAAATGTATATATATAGTTCACGGATACTGCTCGTCTTAAATACTTTGAACCAGGTCAAGTATAGAACTTGAGCTGTGAGCATTAATCATATTTCTTGGTCTTAAATTAACCTAAAGCACATAAATCATATTCCGAGTCTCTTAAAGAACCTACCACTTAAGGATCTTACTGGCATATGCAACCTTTGCAGTAAAATCTATTGAAAGGCCTCCATTTCTTAAGAAATTACGTGCTGCATCCGCTAATTCTCTGTCAATGTCTCCGGGACAATAGCACCGAAGCGAGGGTCCAGATCGAGTACCATATACCAAAGCAAAATGAATAAGGGGCTCCGGGAAAGGGAGGGCCACCTAACAAAAAAGGAGTGAAAAGTGAGCATCAAATCAGTAGCTATGCTTGTGGCAACTTCGTAGAGAAAGTATGTAAACCAAACACCAAAAAGTAAAGCATTACATACTCAGACCTACAAATATGACCTAGGAAAAGCTTTCATGCTTACACCCACTTGAAGCCATGGTTAATCAAATATACAGAAAATAAAACAAGATAAAAACATCAAGTGTTGAAGTAGATGGTAATAAGGCTTTAAAGCAATATAAATTTAAAAAGAGAATTAAGATAGGTAGAAGAAAATGATACAAAAACATAGGGGTTCTAGGTTAGGTTAGGAATCTCTTAAATCTAAAATTATATTAAGATGACTAGAAGATGTTGAATAGAAGTTGTTAGAATAACCTGCAGCTTATCTATCACATATTAAATGAGGTCATACATCACATGTTAAATATCTTTAGTTTTTCATAGGCAATAATTAATAGGAAGTGTAAGTAGTCTTACAAGGTCAAAGTATCGTATATAAACAAGTGTAAACTTTTCCTAATAAGTTGGTTTTATGGAATTGAATTAGATTTAAATCTACTTTCTAATTGTGTGATCATATCTCAGAAAATATGCTTTAAACATTTTAGAAGAAACAAGAATGATTAATGTTTATAATGTGGACACACCAATGGTACCCAATGTCAAACTTGTACATGACCAAAGAGAATTGTATTATGATCCTGGGAGATAGGATATAATAAGATAGGTTTTAATGGGTAATAGGGGCAGGACAGAGAGAACAGTTTTAGGAATTAATTGTTGTTGGGTAGTTAGAAGTGGGTTGTCTTTATAAGAAGGCAAGGGGGGTCTGGTAGAGGGCAGTTTTTGGATTTGTGAATTGTTAGACTGGAACTTTGTCCAATGGAGGGAGGAGGGCTCCCTTGGGGATGATTCTTTGTATTCTGATTCACTCATACATCAGTAATACATTCTATTCAGTTATGTTTTGTGTGTTCTTGAGAGAAGGAGAGATTTGACTGGTTTCTTGACTAAAGAAGCCTAACAAGGTTGGTCCGACCTGCCAGATATCCTTAGGAAAGGAGTGCCGGATCAAGAAGGGATCAAGCAGTGATCAAGAAAGGGTGGAAGCATGGAAGGAAGAAACAATAACTTAGAGAGGAGAGCCAGCGAATAGAAAATGGGGATGGCAGAATAGAGGAGATATCCAAGAAATAAAAGAAATGTTGTACGAAATCAAGATTCACATACAGGGCTCAGAAAGAAGTGAGAAAGCTATCATGAAAGGAAAGAAAGATGGGTCAGAGGAAGAGCTGGAGGAAGACAGGGGCAAAGGGCAGCGAAAGTGGAGGAAGCAAGAGGTAGAATTGCCTACTTTTGAGGGGATTGATCCAGAGGGATGGATATCCATAGCACAGAAATTTTGAGATCCAAAACGTGGCAGCAAAGGAAAAATTAAGATTGGCCTACACTAGCATGGGGGAGGCACAATCTATTGGCTCGGGGTCTGGAAAAATAAAACCAAGAACCCTTCTTGGAAAGAGTTGACAGAGGCCTTGATAAGGAGGTTCCGAAAAAGTGGTAGAGGCTCTATTTTTGAGAAGTTAGCCCAAACTGCAGAAGTCACAGAAGCTGCTGCTGAGAAAGTTGTTAGTGTTGTTGCCCAAGGAGTGGCAAAAGCTGATGTTTCTGGGAAGGAAAGAGAAAGACATATCAGTGCAGAAGACAAAAACTGTGAGCGAGACATTGTTCGTGTTGTTGCCCAGGAAGTGGCAAAAGCTGTTTTTTCTAGGGGAGATAGTGGGGGAGGTTGTGATGTGTATGTCACAACAGTGAGAAGGGTGAACACAGAGGAAAGAAAGCAGAATATGGTGGGAACAGGGTGACCATTATGGTTGGAAATAAAGTAGAAGATGCAGCTGTTTGGAGTCGGGAAAAGATATGGTTGTCACAAACATATAAAACACCACAAGACCAATGGTAGGGATATTTCTTTGCAGGGCTGCAATTTAACATTCAAAGGAAACAGTTAGCTCAACATGATGATGATGAAGAAATTGAATGGTCAGATCAATAAGTTCTTTCCTTTTTAACTTCTAGGATGAGCAAATCTGGGCAAGGAGAGGGCTTAGCCAATGCTGCTGCTATAAAAATACAAAAAAGGTTTTGGGGTTGGAAGAAGAGAAAAGAATTCTTGATCATTCATCAAAAAATAGTTAAAATCCAGGCCCATGTAAGTGGTCACCAAGGCAGTATAGAACAATCATATGGTCCATGGAAATTCTGGAAAAGAAGCAACTCTTAAAGGAGTCAACAATTCTTTCATATAGATCACCACCCAAGCCTCTAGACTTGATTTGGAGGGCAGCAGCCAGTGGGTTCCCTTCCTATGATGAAGATGAGCCATGGGAACAAGCATTACTGTACCAACCTTGAGGACAAGGTTGTTTTGCAAAAGGGTGTAATGATAGGATATAATAAGATAGGTTTTAATGGGTAATATGGCCAGGACAGAGAAAACAGTTTTAGGAATTAATTGTTGTTGGGTAGTTAGAAGTGGGTTGCCTTTATAAGAAGGCAAGGGGGGTCTGGTAGAGGGGAGTTTTTGGGATTTGTGAATTGTTAGACTGGAACATTGTCCAGTGGAGGGAGGAAGGATCCCTTGGGGGTGATTCTTTGTATTCTGATTCACTCATACATCAATAATACATTCTATTCAATTTTGTTTTGTGTGTTCTTGAGAGAAGGAGAGATTTGATTGGCTTCTTGACTAAAGAAGCCTAACAATATCTCAGAAAATATGCTTTAAACATTTTAGAAGAAACAAGAATGATTAATGTTTATAATGTGGACACACCAATGGTACCCAGTGTCAAACTTGTACATGACCAAAGAGAATTGTATTATGATCCTGGGAGATATAGACAAAAAGTTCATAAGCTAAGTTAGCTCATTGTAATTTATCCTAACAAGGTCTTTGTAGTGATCGTAATAAGTCAATCATAAAACTCTCCTTGACAAGACCATTGGGTAGTAGTCGTACGGATGCTAAAGTAAGAATGCTTCAGGCAAAGGCTTTATTTACGATGTTCAGGGAAATACTCAAATTGTTGGAAATTCTAACAATAGTTGGGCACGGTCACCAGACAATAGACCTTTTACTTTCGGGTATTCTGTTTTCATTAGAGGTAATTTATTATCATGAAAAAATAAGAAACAATATGTTGTGACAAGATCAAGTATAAAAGTAGAATACAAGACTATGACATTAATCACTTGTGACTCGTGGCTAAAGAAACTCCTCAGAGTTAAAATTTCACGAAATTCTCAAATAAACCTTATGTTGGCAACCAAACAACATTTGCATTGCCTCTAATACTATCTTTACGAGAGGACCAAACATATTTAGTCAAATTGTCATTTCACGAGTGAAAAGTTGGAGTACAGAGACCTCACCACTAGTTTGTCAACTTTAGTGAATAATTGAAAGACATATTAACCAAGTCTTTAAGATGATCAAAGATCAATCATATTACAGCAAGCTGAGAACATGACTTAGATGCTCAAATCTTTTATAATAAAAAAATATCTTTTACAATCTTTTAGAATCAAGAATATCTAGAAAATAAATGTTTTACTTTTTCCTATCTTATCTTTTCACTTAGAGGATGTAAAGCTAAATCATGAATGAACACCTTCACTTTAAAGGTTGAACGAATATAAAATAGAACAAGGATATCTTACCCTTAAACGTTTATCTTTTGCACCGAATGGCTTCATAAGGGTATATGGTTGTCGCTGGTTCGCCCTCAAAATTCCATTTTGAATGGCTGAAAGAGAGTAGGTGAATCCACCAATAACATATTGGAAGTCTTCAAATATTTTCCTTCTTTCGAGTGCTCCAGAAGGGTGACCCCATACTAAGGTTGCATGGATGGTCATCATATTATATAGATTAATAAAAAAAGCAAGCTTCTCTTCTCTAGACAAATCCCATACTTCCCCTCTTTGTAGCTCTTCTATTATTCTTAGATATCTAAACAAAAAAACAGTTGTATAAATAACAGAGTTAATTCTATGTATAACATCGTTAAATCGCACTTCTGAGTAAGTAAGCCAAAAGGCATTAGAAAAACCTTGCAAACTCCTCACTTCCATGCATACTTCGGTAGTCAACATGACGTCCATCTTCAGAGGCATAGGCTTCAAACATTGCATAGGACAAAAGCCTCAGCCTCGATGCAACTTCTGTCATAGGCTTAGGTTTCACAGTAATTATCCCCCTCGGAATGTTGTAACAAAAAGATGCCACAGTTGGATCGTCATCCAAAAACCGATATAGGTGATTACCATCCTCAAATAGATTCTCACTAAAGCAAAACAAAACAATTGAACATGTCAGAATTTTCATTTCTTTTGTTTAAAATAAAACAGAAAGTATAAACACCAAATGGAGTAGTACTTGGACTCACTCAAAAACATGCTGAAAGAAGAGTTTGCTGGCAAGTTTTCGTGCAAACTCAACAGCCTATACCATCAGACAAGAATAAGGAAGATAGAAAAGGCATTCTGAAGATAGAAAAGGCATTCTGAAATGGTATTAAATGAGCTTGATAAACAACGGATATGCTCGACCATGTGATCGTTAATAAAGGAAGACTAAAATTCAAAACAGACAGTTGCTCCAGAAAAGCTTTTGAACAGGATACATGTCACCAATATTAAAAGGTGAATTGGTTAATTGTTTTCACCAAAAACTCATAATGCATTTGCATGCATCTCTAACTTCCATATTATATAGACACACGTCAAACAAATGGCAACTTCTATGAAGACATTACATCAATTCCAATGGTCAGTTTGTGCTTATTTGAAAATGTGTGTGTGTGTGTCTAATCTGCTCATTTTAAAATTAAGCTATCTTTTCTGCTTTTTTAAGAAGCAAATCCAATCTTAAATAAATGATTTTTTCCATTACTTGTTTTAGAAACGGTTATTTTAAATTTAAACAAACTGACCCAATGTTATTTGATTTTAGAATCTCAATACACTAAATAGGTTGCTCAATTCTAAGTAAATATTAATTTAGATAAACATGCTTTATAAATGCAAACGGAGATTAAGTGCCTCACTTAATTTTCACAAAAAATCAGCAGCAGCACAGCGCAGACTCAAAGTACAAATTACCTTGGCTTTTTACCTTAAAAATTATTCCCATTCCATCAGAACATGGAATGAAGGAAAAATATAAAAGCACGCCTCCAAAAGAAATGAGTTAAGTTCAAGAAAATAAATTCATTTTAAGGTTTATTTTCTTCTATTTTGAATAGATGTGGATCACAAGTAAATTCAAAGTAAGGATAAGCTAAAAAAACACAAATGACAGAAGGAGAATCAATTATTAAAATCCATTGCTGCAACCTGAAAGACAAAGCATCAAGAAGGAACAAGCTATAAGAAAATAGAACCAACATGTACGATGAGGTAGTTCCTTCGATGGAAGTAAAGACCATGAAAAACTAATGAATTAAAATCATCAAACTATACATCTTATAACCTTAAGGAATAAAGATAAACCATGGATGAGGAAGTATATTATAGATGTTACGTATCCGGGTAGGAGACGTAACTAACCACGAACACGGTAGGTAGAAAGATAACTCTCAACTCTCACAGTAAATCGAAAGAACGGTTACTGAATGAATTTCTTTTATTGATGGTAATGGAATAAACAAAAGTAACAAAGATAGTTGGGAGCATAACCTCCCTCACAGAACTAAAGTTGACTGTCAACAAACTCAATAATCAAAAGCATGCCTTAAACCATAGCATTAGGCTTTATTTATATTAAATATTTCCCTAGGATATAATTCTATTTACTATAATTAACTTATATTGAATAATAGAATATAATGCTATTTACTATTATGAGAAATAGAGAAGATTGGGAGAAAATATCCCTTGTGTTTAGCATACACATAGGGTAGTTTATTTATATTGTAAGATATGGGCCAATACCCTTAATACAAAAAAGACTAAGCCCAAATAACAGAAACACACATCTTAACATCTAACAACTATAATTAACTTATACAGAATATCTCCTTAGGATATATTACTGTAATTAACTTATACTGAATATTTCCCTAGGATATAGCTCTAATTACTGTAATTACTACTAAATATTTCCCGCCTATCCTAACTGCTGTCCCAGTTAGGATAGTCACTCTTCAACCGATCAGCTCATGGTCTTCGTTGCTCCCCCTCACTTCGCTCGAGCTCTCCCCGCCTTCCTTCCTCCAACGTTCGGCCTTCTCCTTCTCTCCTAAACCTTTTTCTCTCATACACCTTCCAACACCTAACAATAGATTTGGAATAGTTTACAAAAGGAGGGAAAAGAGGGATAATTGAATATGACAGTTATAACCTCTGCAGTTGTATTTCTTTTGTAACTATCTTCTAACTGACTATTATAAATAGTCAAGGGTTGGGAGCAAAAAGGGTTGTTGATCGTTTTCTAGGAATTAAGGTGGTATAGGAGAGTGAAGATCTCTTGAAGTCCCTCAATTGTATTATGGTACACTACTTTCTACCATATTGGCAGAAACAGTGTTGTCTCGATAAAATCTATCAAGAACTGTTTAGGTTTGTTCTATTCTACCAGTTGTTCCTATCAATTGGTATTCAGAGCTTCTTTCTTGGTCCTATGGTAGCTGTGTGGGGCATGGTGAATGATTATATCATTATCCATTGAAGATTGGTCCCATATTAAAATCCCAATAAGTTGTGAATAACATTGATATACCTGAGGAGGGGTTGGAGAAACATTTTATGGCATAGCCATCCAGTAGGGATGAAGAAAGATTGATTGTGGTAGAAAAGTGACTACATATGTCATCATTAAAAGAAAGAGACAATAGACACAATTCATATGCAGATCAAGAGAGAAACATTGATATTGTTTTAAAAAACGATAATATCCCAAGAAGACACTTGAATAATAGAGGAGAAAATTCAACCATGTGTGAAGTTGTTAACAAAAAGTGTGGTACCAAATAAAAAGCCACTTCATTTTAGACTCTTCATGAAAAAAAAAAAAACTCCTGATAGATTCTGATGGCATACCCCCTAACCATGGCCAAGCATACTCAAGAAGAGTTGGATCAGCTGGGGAAGGTGGGCCCAAGCTCTTATCATCATGGGCCATTAGTGACTTCTTCATAGATTAAGTTTATTTTAGGCCTTGTATAATAGGCCAAGTAGTCTAATGTTTCTTTTGGGCCTTGTATTTGGACCTTAGGTTGTAGTGTAGGGGCCTAAAGGAGATGAGCAGTAAAAAGACACATGGATCTAGGGTAAAAACCTAGCTTGGAGAGCAAACCTTCTAGAAGCTTGTGGGCCCTTGGCAAAAGTGGTCTCCAAGTTTCTCTCTGATGAGTGCATATTTATGCCCTCATTTGACCTTTAATATTAGATTCTTAATTGGTTTTTGTACTTTAATAGAATATTTTAATTAGGATTTGTTATAATTGGGTTAATTTAGCATGAGATACAAAAACATGTCAAAAATAGCTTTTTAGTTGCATAAATGTTCTTTGGATATTTTAAGGTGTGTTATTTCAGCTGCAACTAAGTTGAGCTCATTGAGGTGTAGAAATAAATTGGTTTAAGTTTCATGACACCTTAAAGATAAATCTAAGAATAACAAATAATCAAGACTACAAGAAGTCAATCCAAGCCTAGCATAAAAAAGTGAAGAAATTTCGCTAAGCCAAGAAGAGGGAACAAGCAATAAAATTTGAATCTTGCAGTTTTTTCTAGTTTTTCTACTAAAAGGGCTTTGATAATGATAAATGTTTATGATTAAAGATAATTTGGGAAAAATATATCCTAAAATATTTTATTTGGTATTGTTAAGTAATTTCCTTATTTAACCATATCAATAAATATCAAAAGATAATATTTGTCAAATCCTTTTTAATCTAGCAAATATCTTCTCAAATATTTTTATATCTCCACAACAATAAAATATATCTTGAAGATATTGGATTATTTAGAATATAATTGGAAGAGATTACATTATCATAAAGAAGATTACAATAACAGAAAAGCCTGAAACAAAGCCCAATCTAATTTCTATATAAAGAGACTTAGCGAAACACATTAGGGGAGCTTAGGAACCCTTTAGGGATTCAAATTTCGTCCTCTCTCTTCTCTCGTGTTCTCAACCCTCTCATTTATTTTCATGTTATTTCTACATTCCATGGAGTGTTAATCCTATTGGGTTGATTCTGCTGTAATTTCTTATTTTGATTCTGAAGTTAGATGAATAAATTTTTTTGTTCTTTTTTATTCTTGTTGTGATTTACTTTTATCTATGCCTTTTGGTTCTTAAATCTACATAACATATAATCATATGAGTTCAAGGGTTTTTACTTTTAATTCAAAATTTACTTTGATTAAAGTTAGAAACTTTGATATGATTGAATGGATTTTTGCCAATAATTGAGAATGTACTTTGATTAATGGTAAAAACTTTAACAATAACTAATCAAGAATGTACTTTGATTAATTAGTTTTTTACCTGATATAAGAGGAAAAAGAATAGACATGATTAGGCATAGTAATATTTAATTCAGAATATACTTTGATTAAATTTAGGCTTAATACCCTATTTTGTTCCCAGTTTCGCTCGACAATGTCAAATTAGTCCATCCTTTAAAACGTGCGTCAATTACGTCCTTACTTAATAAAATTTATATAAATGAAATCCCTTACGTTAAATCCGTACAAACGACGTTAATAGAAGAGAGAGAAAAATAATTAACGCCGTTTGTACGGATTTAACGGAAGGGATTTCATTGATATAAATTTTATTAAGTAAGGACGTAATTGACGCACGTTTTAAAGGATGGACTAATTTGACATTGTCGAGCGAAACTGGGGACAAAATAGGATATTAAGCCTTAAACTTACTATGAATAATCTACAAAGTTCTTGCTTTTAATTTAGAATGTGCTTCGGTTAAGAGTGAGAACGCCAACAAATTAATTGAGAATGTACTTTAAGTTAATGTTGTCTCCTAGGTTACAATTAACTCAAAGTGAACAAAAACATTCTTTGGAAGTAGGCCTAGAAAAGTCTCAAGGAATTTCTTTCAAAATTAACATAAGACTGTGTTCTAATTGTTAGGATATTTATCCTATTTTATCATCATTATATTGTGTCAAGGGTTACCCTATTTATCATGATTATATTGTGTCAAGGGTTACCTATTTATCATGATTATATTGTGTCTAGGATTACCCTATTTATCATGATTATATTGTGTCTAGAGTTACCCTATTTATCATGTAATTTTGTATCAATTTATTCTTATAAATAGAAGATTGTGAGAGGGATCAATCAAGCCCTCTAGAATTATTTTACAAGTTAATTCTCAAGTCTAATTTTTCATTTATATATATATAGTATGTAGTACAAAGATTTATTGAATTTTTGTTTGATGACTACTACAAATAGATCTTTGATCCTAGAGGAATAATAGACAAGTTGAACAATAATAAGAAAAGGGTGTTGTCATGAATAAACATGAAGATTTGAGGACAAATCCTTTTAAAGAGAGAATGGATGATGGCATACCCCCTAGCAATGACCAAGCATACTCAAGAAGAGTTCGAGTCATATGGGGAAGGTAGGCTCAAACTCTTATCATCATGGGTCATCAGTGAGTTTTTAGTAAATTAGGTTTATTTTGGGCCTTATATTTGGGCCTCGGATTATAGTGTAGGGTTTTGGGCCTAAAGGAGATGAGCCCTAAAGAGACACATGGATCTTAGGGTAAAAACCTAACTTGAAGAGCAAACCTTCTAGAAGCTTAAGGCCCCTTTGGCAAGAGTCGTCACCAAGTTTCTCTCTCTTGTGAAACACATGCTCTTGCCATGTGACATGCTCCTAATGGAGAGGATTTCTCTTTAGTAGTGGCCATGTGTCATGCTCCTAATGGAGAGAATTTCTCCTTAGTAGTGGCCATGTGTCATCCTCCTAATGGAATGAATTTTACCTTGGTGTCCAAGTTAAAATATTCGAGTGTTGCTTCTACAATTTGGAGACACCTTTAGGGTTACCTAAGTTGTTACGTATCCGAGTTAGAGACGTAATTAAACACGATCACAATAGGTAGAAAAGACAATGAACGAATGATAATGGATGAATGAATCTCTTTTATTGATGGTAATATCTGAATAAACAAAAGTAAACAACAATTAGGAGCACAACCTCCATCAATGATTTGAGAGCATAACCTCCCTCACAAGTCAATAATGTCTGTTACAAAACTCAATAATCAAAAGCATACCCTTAAACCTGGACTCTAGCTTTATTTATACTAATTATTTCCCGCCCCATCTCTTACTAAATATTTCCCTAGAATATATCTGCATTTAATATAAATATCTCTATATTTAATATAAATATCCCCATATATTATCTTAGCATATATCCTTAATTATAAATATCTTATATTGAATATTTCACTATGATATATATTTATTTACTCTAATTAACTTATACTAAATATTCTCTCCTATTATGGCTCCTTTTACTTTAATTAGCTCTCGCCCCCCTAACCGCTGCGCAGTTAAGATGGTGATTCTTCAACCGTTCGGCTCAGGTCCTTCCCTGCTTCCCACCGTTCGGCCTGGTCGCTCCTTGCCTCCCACCGTTCAGCCTGGTTGCTCCCCGTTGTCCACTGTTTGACCTGGTCGCTCTCCTTTGTCCACCGTTCGGTCTGACCGTTCCCTCTTGTTCACCGTTCGGCCTTACCTCTCCATGCCTTCCACCGTTCGGCCTCACTTCCCTCCTACCTTTCTTCTCCTTCGCATTACCTCCCACCTTATACGCTAACATAAGCTTATAAATAGAAATGTCTCCTCTTATGTAAATTCACCTTTGAATTGTGTTAGGTTCCTAGGTTTGGAACCTAACAAGAACACACTCAAAAGATAGGAACAGTAATGGAAGAATGGGTTTTGCTATTATTCACCGTAAGAGAATCTCTTTACAAGGACTAGGTTTGGGAGCATAACCTCCCTCTAGAGAGCCTAACCTCCCCCCTCAGGATGACAAACCCTGTTAGAGCTATAATCCAAACAATCGACCCCCCACTACAATTGTTTATTTACTATTTATACAACCTATAACCCCGCTCTTCCTAACTGCTAAGGTAGTTAAGGCAGTTGGGCATTTAATGTTTTATTCCTTCACTCGTAAACTCTCCATCCCTAACAAATTGAGTATTGTTATGCTGTCAAATTTGTGTCATACTACTCAACTTAGGTCACCAAAGCTAGAGCCCCTTTCTAGGTTTCCTCTAGTCACCCTTCCTCTTGAGTTGGTCCAACCTCTCTTGAGAGCACCTAAACACCATCATAGCCTCTCCTCTTGTTTACGTCATATAGCTTGGAGGAGGACCCACCATCTCACCACACCAAACCCACCACCATCAAGCTTTGCAACCACCAACCTATTTGGAAGTCTCCCCCTTGTTTGAATCATATAGCTTGGAGGTGCTTATTCGTTCAGATTCATATACGAAAGATTATTTATAAATTACCCCTACCACTTATTATATACTTTTTCACACAAGGAACAAAACAATTGATGATATGCCAAGGGTGCGAACGAAAATGTGGAATTTTTTTTATGTAGAGAACAAAATGAAGTCTATAACTTTCACATAGGGACTAAATGACAAATGATGTCAAACAATGAGACCAAATCTAATATCGTTACAACTTAGCAAATAGCAGGAATCATTTTTTCATATAGAAATTAAAATTTATAGTTTTTTCATATGGGAATCAAAAAGAAAAACAATACCAAATGTAAACACCAACTTTTTAATTTAATCTAAATAATATCTTCAAACAAAAGCTACCAGATACAAGCTACACGTACAAACTAAGCTAAACCATAGTCTTCACATTTTTTGATTAAAAAGAAATCAAAAGCAATTAGGTTCCCATTTCTCAAACATTGATTCCATTTAACTTAATACTAAAGCTTTAAGGGATACCACACAAAAACGACAAACTTTCTACAGCACGAATTGCATCACTATTCTTGTTTGGGGCAACCAAATTTTATAGATGCATCAAACGATTACACTTGGGAGAATATACAATGTTGTTAAAACACACTAGAATGTGATCGAAACTTGAGATCAAGCTTACCTCCTTCCTTTCCAAATATTGATCTTCTGATAAGAAGTTCACAGCATCATAAGCAATGAAGCAGTTAGTAAACCTCCGCATTTTGCAAAATCGGTCCTTCACAACAATGCATTCTTTCATTTTGCGGACAATTAGAGCCATTTCATCAAGCGCCCCTCTACTGGACACATCATCCTCTCCAGAAAGTGGAGGAACTGGGCATTCAAATGATGGTACTTCATTAATAAGGTAGTCAATCTTCTCATTAAGTTTGCCAGACTCATTTAAGGACTTTAGTGTACTCAAGCCTCCAATAAGTATTCCATTGAAAAAAACCTTGGGAATAGAAGTAGATCCTGAATTCTTCTCCAGCTCCATCTTTCTACTAGGAAAGACATCAATGTTGATTTCAACATATCTAAGCCTTTTCATATACAAAAATTTCCTAACCTCTTTACATTCTGGGCACCCTAGTCTCGTGTACACTGTAATCCTTCCTTTCATGGGTATGGGTAGTGGTGGACCTTCATTTATAGGTTCCTCCCTTAAGACAGTTCTATTTTCAGCATCAACAGATGACGTTTTAATATAATTTAAGGGATTCCAAGTTGTTTTCTCCCCTGTCTTCTCAGGAACCTCTTTCGTATCACTTTCTCTTGATAAATCTGAAGGGTCCTTACCCATGTCATCAGATTTAGCCACAGTATATTCGTCTCTTTTTACAGAAAGGCGGCGAAGCACCATGGAGACTGCTATTATACTTTTCTCCTTAACAAAGTCTCTAAGAGATTTTGTCTTCTCAACCCCACATGGAACCTCCGGATTGGTGTCCAAAGTATCCATAGATGTGCTGCAGCCAGCTTCAGTTCCAGGAACCACAGCTCCACCAACATCAGGCTCCAAATTATTGCCCTCTGAAGTGTTCTCTGTTTTTTTATTCATTTGTGCAGATTCCACGCTTCTGCTGTCATCCTTCTCTATGAACAAACCTTGCTTCACAAAATTATCTAGACTTACTTCTTGTCTTTTAGGCTCAAAATCTCCACTGTCTCCATTAACACCTGAACACTCTTGTCCAACAATGCCAACTTCAATTCCAGATTCCATGGAATCACTATCATGATCCTTTTGAAACAAGTCATCTGGAACGGTACCGGTCTCCAAGTTTTCTTGTTGAGATCCACACAGCAAATCCCAACTATCCCCCAACCTCTGAACCAACTGAGATTCTCCTGCTACATTGTCTTTTCTTTCCTCATGGGTTTTCAACTCTACACCTATCGCCTCATCCACCCTGTCTGGCATACTATGCTGCTCATCATCAAACTTGAGGGCATCATGACCAATATGCTGATCATTCCCAAACTCAGAGCTATCACAATCTACATTTTGTGTTTCTGGTCGCACTGAGTGTTTTTCCCTATCTTCTTCACTCGAAACCACTTCTATCTTTCCAACAGCCCGAGGACTTGGCTGATCTGTCTCCTCTAACTCTTTCTTTTCCATGGTAATGCAACCAAGAATCACATTTTCCACACGCTACAAAATTAGGCGCCACAACAAACTCAACACCACATATGTTAACAACACTGCTTCTGACTTGTCTCCTAATGAAACCAACGACGAGTGTGTAACACACAATAATCAAAAGCAAAACCTGAAAGTTACATGAAATTAAGGAGCCAGAAAGTGGGAAACAGTAGCATCAGTAAGTTAACAATGAAACAAAATCACTGCAGGAGTAACAAAAATTCCAATTTATTACCAAACCAACACAAGGCCATCTAAATTTAGTTTACCTTTCCTAATTAAGACCCTGGTGCCTTTCGCCTGTGAAAACTACAAGGGGCTAGGAATTGCAACTCATTCCAAACGTAATTTGCAAACCCTGCAAAATAACAGCCTGATTAAATTGATAAGGTTCGTTACACATTAGAACTCGAAACACATGTTTGGTTTCAGCCAAACTAAACAAAGGGTTTTATGGGAAAATATTATAACAAACTATGCGGAAAAACAACACGAGAAAATTGGTGAATGAAAAAAGAGAAAATGAAAAGGAGGGGGAAGTTACCGATCCGATGAGAATTGAATTGGGGGCAGAAAAAGAAGACAAGAGGAGGGGTTAGGTTTGTGTTGCGTTGCCTTGGAGGTTTGAGTAGAAAGTCGAAGGTTGAAAGGGAAGGATGATTCAGACAGCAGGAGGAGCGAGAGAAGCGGGAAGTGCATGGGCCAAAACTTAAATTCCTTCTAAAATACAATTTTAATTTATATATCATCATATTTAATTTATGTGAGTAACACAATATACTTTTTTATCAGGGACACCGTATATTATTAATGCAAAATTAATATATATTCAATTAGAAATTATTTAAATTAATTACTATTCAAATTTATAGTCCCTCGGAACTTTGAAAGCACAACAATGATAGTTATAATTCATAGTGAAATAACATAAATGTGCAGTAAATAAGAAAAAGGTGATGCTGATAACAATTAAATATTTAAGTGGTTATATAAGATATTAAATTTAGTAAGTAATCATTATAATATTATGTATACAGGGGAAATAAATATTAGAAGTGTAGCATAAAAAAAAAATCTACAGTTAATAAAAACCGAATAAAAAAACAACTAACATCCCTTAAACTCACACTATTAACGTAATCATTATAATAAAAAGACAAAACACACAAATAAAGAACACAAAAGTAACGATAAACTAATATTGAAAGAAACAAACGCAAAATTTCAGAATTCATCATACATACAGTTCATACCAAATTAGACAAACATCTTAGGCATACCATGAACCCACACTTGACCATCCGAATAAGGTATGAATGTCGAGCTATGGCGATTCATGCACTTGTGGTGCCCTCTAATGCTCTCCAGAGCCATTACCAATGGGTTTCACCCTAGCTATCACACTCACAAGGTTAGTCTCTACTACATCTTAGGTCATACTAGAAACACCTATACTAAGACCTCCTATTACTCTCACGACATGTATCACTCATCTCTAATTAAGAATGAATGCTCATTAAAGTGTCAGGATAATCCCCAAGACTAAGCTCCCCACATTCATACCAACAACGTTGTAATACAAGCATTAAGACTTCTCCTTAGAACTCTTACAAACCTCTCATCCATCCAATCATATGTTCTACACCGTACCACAGATCATATATTGACCATCATACCAAATTATGCACATAAGAGAAAGGATGTTAAAACACCCAATAAGACTCGGACTCACTCACCCAACGCTAAAAACAGTATTCCTAGATAGTACAAGCTTGCTCAATGAGCAGCCTCAACTCGTCCAACAAGAGGCAAAATAGTGAATTCCACAAACTCAGTGAGTTGGCTCGCCTAGCCATTGAAACCCACTATCACGACCCTCAAATACTTGCCTAGCCACTCTACATAATTCTGCATAACACTAATTCTGCAGAATTTGTGTAAGACCCGTAGAAAATAAAAATAAAATATATTTTTATTTATTTATTTTATTTAAGATAAATTATTTTGGTAGTGTATTTGTGTGTTAAAAGTGTTAAATTGGTAGATATAAATTAATTATAATTATATTATTTTGTCCCTGTGTGATGCATGAAATGTGAATTATATATGATTGTTTACAATTACATATCATTCAAAATGAGTTGGTTTTGTGGTGATCCTTTTATGTGTTGTAGTGTGGGGTGCACATGCATTAGGTTTGATAACGGTGGATTTCACCGTTACTTGTGATTCAATTTTGATACTAAAGGAGGTCTTTTTGACTTAGAAACTTGCTTGAACTCTTGTTTTTAGTTAAGTTGTTGTTGGGAACTCACGGTTTAAATTATTTTATTTGTGTGATTCTTGATTAACTTTGATTTTTTTTTATTTTTCTATATATATTTTTATTTTTATCTTATTTTTAATTTGTGTTTTGTGTCGTTTGTTTTTGTTTTTGTGTTAACAGTGTTTTCTAGGGTTTTGTGTCTAGTGCTTGCAGCATGCAATTCAGACAAGAAGTTAACTATATGGACACTTAATTCCACTTAGGTAATTTCAACCACTAGTGGAAACCTCACTTAAACATTGGTCAAAGTCAATTTGATAGGCTGCCACAACAACAATGGCAGCAACAACCCTCTCTCTTAGAAAGAATGGGCAAGATGGATGACACACTTCAACAGTTAATGTAGATGTTTGACTCTCATCATAAAAACACTTAAGCAGCATTCAGAAGGATGGAGGTACAGCTTGATCACATAATTCAGAAGCTGGATAATCTTGGGAGTAACATGAAAGTTAACCCTAGGGAGGAGTGTAACGTCGTTATCACTGAATATGGCAAGGTTTTAGATGAGGGAAAAATAGAGAGAAAAGAAGAAGAAAGGTTGAGTGAAAAAGAGAAAGATGTAAAAAAAGAGGAAGAAAAAAGAAGAGAGAAAAAGTGAGGTTAAGAGAAAAGAAAAGGGGCAGAATGTGGAAGAAGAGAGAAAAGAAAAGGAAGAGGTTGAGACAGAAAAGAAAAAATTGATGAGAAAAATCTTTTGTACCCTAAGGAGTGTTCCAAGGAGGAAAAAGAGAGGGAAGAAAAGGAAAAAGAGAGGGAAGAAAAGAAAAAGAGAGGGAAGAAAAGAAAAAGAGAGAGAGAAGGAGGATGAGAGAAAAAAGAAAGAATCATATGAAAAACCCCTTCCTCACCCAAAGAAGTATCATAGGAAGCAGAGGGAAAAACAGTTTGAGCATTTCATGGAAATCTTCAAGAAATTGGAGATTAAAATTCCTATGATTGGGATACTACAACAGGTTCCTGGTTATATTAAATTCCTAAAAAAATTCAACAAAAAGAAAAGAATATCTAGAAAAGGGAACAATTGAGGTATAGGGCAACTACAATAGGTCAAGCTAGTGACGTTAAAGAAGTGCTTGCTAGGAGGCAACCCAGCTTTTTGATTTTGTTTTTTTTATTTAGTTGTGTGGTGTGGATTTGATTTTGTTTTGCAGTAATGACAACATCTGCTGATGGATGTTGGACAACATCTACTAAGGGATGCTAAGAGGATTCAAATAACAACATCTACTGATGAATGCTGCTACGATGAATGATAGCCCATTTTTCTAAACTTTTCTTTTTAGTTGATTTAATTGTGTGGTTTTGATTTGTATTTTTTTTCTTTGTGTGTTTGAGTTTTTTTTAGGTTAAATGTTGCTTCTGATGGCAGTAATGATAACATCTACTAATGGATGCTTCTAAAGCATCTATTGATGAATGTTGTTATGATTAAAATGATGAATGACAACATCTACTGATGGATGTTGCTATGGAAGAAGATGGTGACAAGACATCTATCATATTCCCTTTTTTTAAACCACCCAACAAGCCCAAACTTGAACATTTATCAATACCACAAGATATCTTCAACTCAACTCAAGGAAAAGCTTTTCAAAAAGGGTTTTCTATCATGTTCAAAGCTAAGGGTTCAAAGGATAGAACACATTGTGCTCTCTTTTATTCGGCTAAAATCATGCATTTGGCTAATAAAGGGTAACAACCACCATCAACTTGATATCACCCCTCAGCTCGTTCTCAAACTTCCTACACTACCACTCCTCATCAATAACTAAAGTATGGAAGCGAATCAAGTGCTTGAACTTATCAGCATACTCTGAAACAGTCATATTTCCTTAGACCAACTACAGAAACTCCACCTCTTTTGCAAACCTCACACTGTTTGGAAAATACTTGGTGTAAAATTTCCTCTTAAAAACTTCCCAACACTAGTACATTCAACGGAAAAGACAGCGGTTATTTTCGCTTATAGACACCAGTTCTGCAACCGAGGCATATACAGGCGAGGTAAAAAGTCTACCACTTTTTGCCTCGATTCAGAACTGAGACAAAAAAGTGTATGTTTTTGCCTCGGTTAAAATGCAACCGAGGCAGTATAGGGTATTTTTTTTTTTTAGTTTTTTTTCGTGATTGGGTCTTATGCCTCGGTTTGGATTTGAACCGAGGCATTAGAATGATTTTTTTTTTGCTGAATTCAATTCTACGGCACCAACCATTTACTGCATGTAACAGAAAATTATTTTACAACTCATTATCAGAACAACTCATAAATAGAGTCTCTGAGAAAATTATTTTACAACTCATAAGGTAATCAAAATTCTAATTAATAAGATTCCGTAATAGCTACCTATCTTCAACTCCTCTTTTAATTCATAGGTTGCAGACGTCTGGCATTTGAACCGAGCAACTTGCAAAATTCTGCATCACAGGAAAGGTCAAATTATGAAGAGCTGAAATAGTATTAAGGAATAACTTAGATTTCATACGCTACGATATCTTACCACAATCTTCTCAGCAGCCTCGCAGATCTTATCGACCTTGGCCTCGGATAGACCTTTGATTCCAGTCAAGTTCTACGAAAATATAACAATTACATTAGCAATTAAAGTACAGAGCTACTCCACGTCCTAGATATTTAAACTAGAGATGTGTTTTAAGTTAAACCTTCTTTGTGTGCATCATCAAGCCATTGCAGGTATATATCCCTGCGTCATGAAGCTTCTTCACATCTCCGGCATTGATGCCTTGAGCAATCACTGCGTAGAAGCGTATGGATGTGAATCGAATGCAAACGAATATTCCACTAATCAAACGAGTGCAGAATTGAGTTTTTCAAACTAGAAGAGCATTCCTCTTCATTGCTGGTATTTATGAAGCAGGTTAGACATTGAAATTAAGGCTAGTCAATATTGCTATATACTAGTTAAGCTTAATTTTACATTCCATTCCAAAAGATCTTAAAAACAATAATGTTAAACAAATGGGAATGTAATCAATCATAGGCAATGGAGGATAAAGGTCCAAGCGCTTACCCTTCAGAAATGGCAGTCTTTCCAACACCAAGCTCAACAATCAGCACAAAATTTTTATTTGTCCTCCTGAAGAGAATTTGGATGCATCTACGTATTTCATCATGTTATAAAATTGTCAGTACTCAACACACTAATGGAATTTATCGAAGTAACACTTGAAGAGTTTATACATTCGTATAAATTACTTACAAATTCCCATGATATTCCTTTCTGATAAGTAATCACCTAGTGTTTCTACACATCTCCAGCTTGAGGTACTACATAGATGTGTTACAAGGACAAACAAAAAGTAAGAATCCTAAAAAGTAAAGTTCAATCAGTGAAAATCTTTTATGGAGCACGTAAATTAACCTGATACTTA